CAATGTTGAAGATCCTGTCGATATACTCAAAAATCGCCACCATCATCTCATCTTCATTTTTGGGCGCTGGCCTAAAACACAGAGCATCCAATTTAACACTTGAAATGCTGTGAGAGAGATACCGCACCTGCAAAGAGCCAAACAAAGAGCCTTACTTGTCCTCTGGGTGTGTGCAGGGGTGAATGATGCCATTCATGTCCAGGTAGAGGTTGTCGAACTCCACCTCGTTGGGGTTGGGCTTGCTCGTGTCAATGGGGACCTTGACACCATTGCACTCCTTGGCCTGGGGATGCAGTGGGGACAAGGATTGCAGCTGTTAGTGCACAGGCTCATCAAAGTCTGCTTTGGTTTTAATGGCAGCAGAAGAAAAAAATGCACCCACACTAAGTAATAAGTAATTATTATTAAAATCAAGTCCCAGCAGTAAGTACCCACACTACCTGCAGCTGCACTTTTCACTATTTAACAGCACTTCTTTCTACAGCTGCTTTCAACCAGAAAACACAATAATGGGTTATGGAAGAGCTGTTTTTTATTCCTGACAAGAAGTTCTCATATCTCATATTGTTTCTTCATCCTAAATCACCTAGAGCCACCTGTGTGCCTGGACTGCTCCAGCAGTGGATCCTTCAACATTCTCAACAACCACGGTCACTTTCGTTTCCTCACCATAATTTCAGGTTTGTTTTGTTTGGGCCTTTGTTGTCCTTGGGCTTGTGGTTTGGCTTTGTGGTTAGTTTGGTCAAAGGACAATCAGCAACACTGATTCTCCCTTCCATCAGCCACAAGCATAACACACGTGGATTAAAATCCAAGAGCGTGGAAGAGACAGGATCTGAGCAAGGAAAAGCCTCATGATTTTCAGAGGAATTCTGGCTGGAATGGGTTACAACACACTCAAAGGTGGAACAAAGTGTGCTCTTGAACAGCTGGGCTTAAAGCCAAGTTTAAAAATTAATAAAATGAATGGCATGTTCTGAGGTGAAAGCTGCAGTCACAGGAGTGCCTGGGATGGGGAAATCCAGGATACTGCTAGGTATCCCATGACATGGAGCTCAGCAGCTGCTGCTGAGCCAACAACAAGCCCTTCCCAACCTCCTGCCTGCTGACTGCTACTCACTGAGTGAGTTCCCCAAATCTCTGAGGGAGATTCAGAGAGGAAAAAACCCCAAAACTTACAGATTACGCTGTCAACTTTGGACAACTTTCCTGCTTAAAGCAGCAGCAGGACTGGCTAACTTCTTAGCCCCAAAATGAAACCCAAGTTTCATATCATTCATTTCTCAAGTCTGGATGTAGCATTTAGGTTTGGCACAGTTATCCTGAGAGATGCCACCCCCAAGCACCGCTGTTTGCCTCCTCCACTCAGCTCTCCAGACACCAGACACTCAAAATGAGGTGATGTTAGCAGAAACTAAGTGTCAGTGCAAACATTGTACCTTCCTCTGGGCTACCCCCGTGGATTCTCCCTGATCCCCAGCCCTGTGGGATCCGAGCTCAATGGATTCAGGAGGAATCCCAGCTCTGTGAGGCAGAAAAGGAGCCCCCCCTTCACAAGCCCACTGGGGTTCTCACGCAGCAGCCGTGTGCAAGGGAGGCTGAAGTGTGTGGCAGCGATATCTCTTGTGATATAACTAAACTGTTCACTTCTCATCTCCAGCGCCTCTTTTGAAACCATTCAAAACAGATCTTCAAACATGATACTTTAGCTGCAGCTTTATTAATTCCTATCCATTTGATTAAGAATATTCTCTCCTGGATTTTTTTATTATCTTCAAGATCTTCCTCTCATTCTTCCCGCTCAGCTTAAGAAGAAGATTATTTCTTTTTCTTAAATCTGATTAATCTAGCAAGGTAAGAGAACAAGGATCAACTTTTCAATATTTCAAAGAGACAAGCTACCGGGAGATACAAAATTTCTGATTAGAGAGATTTACAGCAATCCTAAAACACACACGGAGCTGATTACATCGTGAGAGAAGCTTAAATTCATCGACAGGAAGACAAACTACAGCTTCTCCCTGCTGTCCTAGTCCACTCTCAGATTTATGACCAGATTTGAATATAAAAAAAATGTTAATGAATGTGATTTATCCGTGTGCTGTCCTGGCTGTAATTGCAACGTGCTCTTGAGTTGGAACAAAGCAACGTGGATGAGGACAGCAAGAGCTGCCACTTCACTTATGGCAAATCCAACTCAAGGAATTTATTGTGTCTTTGCACTTATTTTCATAAATAATTTGGCTGGTACAAGCTCAGTTATTGAAGACTGAAAAAAGAGACACACAATCAGTAAAATCAGGGCTATGCAAACCTTTGTTTTGCCTAAATGTGAGAGCAGCTTTGATTACACAGAGATTAATCTAACATTTACAAATGTGCTGGAAAAGGCAAATCTGCTCTTAGAGACAACTGCCCCAAACTGTTACAGATGTAATTGCTGTTTAAATTGTGGCTGCTTTTTTATCTTAAAGGGTGATTTAGGACAGCCCCTAAATGGAGGGTTCCCAAAGCCCCAGGAGAGGTCACATCCAGGAGTTTGGTGCAGAGTCCAGAAGAGCCAGTGCTGCTGGAGCTCAGCATTAAGGGAAACTGTTAAGCCCTTAAACAACCCCCCTTTTATTCCATAAAAATTCTCAGGCAGATTCTTAGATCTTAATTATCACCCATTAAAAATTCACCTTTTGCAGTGACAGGTAAAATAAACTTCCCACCTTGCTGAGAGGGCCTGAAATCACAGCTGCAATAAAACCACAGCAGCAGCAGCTCACATTTTTAACCAAACCTGTGCTTCACTGCCTGAACCTGCAACACAAAACCACCCTGGAAAAGCACAGAGCTGAACGTCCTGCTGCAGGCAAGGCACACCTGCAGCCCCAACACGGAATTCCAACACTTCACCCTCTTTTCCCTGATCTCCCCCACTGTGCTCCCACTCTTTATCCCCTTCCAGGTGCTTCCCCAAGATGAGCACACCTTGGGAGGAGGAGGAGAGAGGCAGAAGCCCCAGCACATGCCCTGAGCTTTCCAAACCAGCAGACTGCAGCCAGTACAATCAAACAAAACAGAACACAAATTATTATGGGAAAAGCAGCTTGGGAAGCAAGAACTCCAGAGTTTGCCTCCTCAAAAAGGCTCAAATTAGCTTTGGGAGGAGAACTTGTCACACTCAGGGCACAGTAAATCCACCACGGTGCCACTGAAGGGAGATCCCTCCATCCTCCCTGTCCCTCCCACCGCGTCCCATAGGATGGCACAACACCCCCGTGCCTGCAGGGATGTGCCTGAAGGAACCAGATCCAAAAAACCACATAAACAAACATCATTTCAACTGCAATGCTGCCTGGAAAGGCACCTGTGGAATCCCGGGTCAGAGTCTTCACTGAAACCTCCTCCTGCTGCTATGGAAAGCCAGATTTTAGAGGATGTCTTTGGAATAATCAGCTCCGTGTTTGGCCAGGAGATTATCCTGAACCAGAGTTCTAGTTCAGGGGTTTATCCCGAACTAGAAATCACCAGCAATGACACAAAACCCCCCTGAGGCTGCTCTAGGCTAAAGCACAAGCAGAGGCTCGGCAGCTGCACTCGTGTTTCCAGCAAGTCCCGAAGCTTGCTGCGGCTTCTAATTCCCACCCAAAAAAAAAGTTGTGGAAAAGTAGGGGCTGCGAAAAACATTAAAAAACAGCCAAAAGCGCTCCCTACTCAAATTTCACCAGTGTCTCAAATTTTACTTTTCCGGGTCGGAATCACACGAGGGCAGAGCCGAGGGCGTCGGGAAGGGCTGGAATTCCAGGAAAGGAATTCCAGGAAAGGAATTCCAGGGAAGCGGCCGGAGAAGGAGGAATCGGAAGAGACGCTCGATTCCCGGCTCCGGCGCCCATTCCCGCTTCCCCCACGTGCCCCTTCCCGCCGGGAGCTCACCCGCACCCCCGGCACTGAGCGGAGCACGGGGATAACTCCCCCCGTAGAGCGGCCGCTTCTACCGGGATCAAAAATCCGGGAAAAACTCCAAACGCCCCCCCCCAAAAAACCCCAAACATTTCCCAATCATAAACAACACCCGAACCAAACCCAAACAAAGCCCAAATCCACCGACCCGCCTGGAAATGCCCCGGGGCAGCCCACGGGGGCGCAGAGGGGACTCAGCACCGGGAGCTCAGCACCGGTGCGGCCCCACCAGCCCCGCGCTCCGCAGAGCCCCGGGGCGGCCACCGGCGGGCCCGCGCGGTGCTGGGCGGCCGGCTCACCTTCTCCTCGACGCAGTTGACGATGATGGAGGGGTACTTGCGGCTGAGCCAGCGGAAGAAGGCCGGCACTCCCATGGCGGGAGCTGGACGGGCAGCGCCGAGCGGGACCCGCGGCGCCGGCGGCACTTCCGGGGTCGGGGGGCGGCGCGGGGCACGCCGGGAACGGAGGGAGGGAGGCGGGGCCGGGGCGCGCGTGCGCGAGGAGGCGGCGCCGCCATCTTGGGTGCGGGCTGAGGGCGGCGCAATGGCAACCTGAGGGGAGGCCGGGAGCGTGAGGGGACAGCGCCCCGTAAAACGTGTCTGGGCAGCTCCTGGGGCACTAAAGGGACACTCAGAGGGGAAAATAAAGCCAGAGGGCACAAAAGTGATGTCCAGGAGGAAAAGGGAAGCCTGACTCCTCAGACAGCCCCAGTGCTGCCCTCACGCCCAGCCAAGACATGCAGTGTGACAACTTCTCACAAACTGCCATAAACGAACAATTTAACAGAAGACTCACCTTCCCTTAGCACCTTGCTAAAAAACAAGCATGGGGTGCTGCTGTGGGGTGACACTATAAGACACATAACACGACATGCACACACTGCTATTCTCAAGGTGAAAAAAGGGAAGTTTATTTTTCGACTCCAACATTTCTAGATTTTCAAAAGTGACAGTGGATTGGAGGGTGAAAGCGCCACCTCTCCAATGACACTGGACAAACCAACAGTTCATCAAAATTTTCCTCCATAAAAGAATGCAAAACAATAAGTTATTTACAGAAACTGTGTGAGAAAGTTTGTTATAAAAATGTAAACATCAGAAGGCTTAGAAAATCTTTAAAATTCAGGGTGACAGTGGGGTGCTTTAGGCTGCACACACCCAGCAGTGTTGCCCAACAAGCCAATAATTAAGAGAGAAATCGATGATTTATTTCAGCGCTGCATGAGCTGCATGCTCAATATATTCCCTAAATCCAGCACAACCTCTGTTTCTTACACTCAGAAATCCACAGCTGGCAATTTCCCGAGCACAGCCCCTTTTAGGATTGATCAGTAATTTCCACATGAGTTATGTAACCCCAGCCAACTCTTCCACCTGCTCAGGGGAAAGGTCTGCACCTCTTTTTGAGCTGTAGGCGTGAGTTGCAGTGTTACAACAAATAGTTCAGATATAGGATACATGGAATTTGGGTGTTTTGCCAAGTTAGGAGTACACACATAGGCGCCAACATCTGGATTTACTACATCCTTAAGGCTTGGTGGTTCCAGGGTGTCCTTGAGGAAGGGATGCACTAATGAGGTCTCTGCATGAAAATATACAAAGATCTTACATTAAAGAACGTCCTGACTTCAGACAATTTTGACTCATCCCGTGTTTGGCAACAGCAGGAGCGATTCAGGGCACGGCTGCTCTGTGCCCTCTGAGGGGACATTTCCCTCAGTGGGAAATGTCTCCATGTGATTCCTGAGACCAACACGAGGCAAAGAGCTGCCGTCCCCTTGCTCTGCCCGTGGCATAAGCAAACACTGTTAATTTGTGCCTGTTTGACGGCACCAAAATGGAATTAAACGGCCGGGAATTAAACGGGATTAGCACGAGGTGGGTTTTGCTCCGCCGTGTCCCGTTGCCGCACATCAGCTCCGTTAGCAGGGCAGCCACAGGGCCGAGGACAGGGAACAGCGGCCCGGGAGCCATTAACAAAAATAACAAAACCTCAGCAGTGCTTGCTGAGTCAACGCCGCCGATTTGGGGAGCAGAGGGGAACCTTGGTACCTGGCTAATTCGCTGTAGAATAAATTAACTCGATATTGTGTCTCTCATTATTCTTATCCTCACTTGGCTGTTGTTAAGCCGTTTTCTGTTGTCGCTCCTCTCAGTAAAAGCTGTGACTTGAATAAATTTCCCCTGCAACTTTGTAGTGGCACCACACCTGTGGTATCAGCTGAAGATTGTCCTTTATCTGTTCCTTACAAAATGTTCCCTGATTGAAGCTTCCTATTGTATTCCTTCCAGTGCTTCTCCTCCCAGAATTTTGTAGGGATCACGCCAGCTTAGTATGAACATTTTGTTTGTATTGATGGGCAATCAGTTGTTTTTCTGATAATGACGAAGAAAATAGAAGGCTGGCGGACGCAAATGAAAGGCAATCATCTTATCTTATAATTGCTTGGGTAAACAAGTGCTGGAAAAATTAATACTGCAGCAGACAATTCCTTGAAAAGTTGGTCTGAGCACGAGGAGCTGCTCTGGGTGGTGAGCCCAGGTCTCACCTGCCACCTGCACATCCATGAGCACAGCACAGAGTGGCGCACCCTGGGCAGGAAGGAGCAGGGAAGGTTTTCCTGCTCAGGCACTTTCCTGGGATGAGTGGTGTGCTGATGGGAATCTGCTGGGGGTGTGTTGATTCCAGTGCCCCTGTCCGTCAGCGTCACCTGCCAGCAGGGCCGGGGTGACAGCTGTGAAGGAGCACGGGGAAGTTGACTGGCAGGATGTTTTGCATCTAATGAGTCTGTGCACAATAAGTGTATCACGAATAACGCTGCAGAAGAGCCCGGCTATCGCTCCCACACCAAGAGGCAGAGATTGCCTGCATGTGGCTCTGCAGCCATCTGTCACCTGTCACGGGCCGCTGTCAGGGCTGAGCCGGACCGGGGCGGTGGAGAGCCCCACAGACTGATGTCAGGCAGTAAAGTGGGCTGACATCAGCAGCCCAGAGCCACTCAGGAGGAGCTCAGAGCTCGAAGACACTGCGCTGCTGAGGAAATGTCCCTTGGCACTGCAGGCTGCTGGATTTTTCCAGTGGGGCTGCTGCTCCTCCTCTCCACACTCCTCCCAGGCCTTGAGCAAGATACCCACCTCACAGCACAGGCAGAAGGCAGCAGTCCCACAGGACACGGGGAGCTGGTGTGGTAAAAAGGACATTGAACCCCTCAGTAAAATCTGGTTTAGTTACAGAATCACACAATCACTAGATTGGAAAGAACCTTCGAGATCAGAGTCCAACCCATGCACTAACACCTCAACCATGGCACTAAGTGCCACATAAAGTCTTTTTCTAAACAGATCCATGGATGGTGACTCCACCACCTCCCAGGCAGATCATTCCAGTACTTTATCACTCTTAAAGTAAAAAAGCTTTTCCTAATATTCAGCCTGTATTTCCCTTGGCGCAGCTTGACTGTCCTCTCATTCTGTCAGTTGCTGCAGTCCTTTAGTCGAGCCCAGCAGTCTCCCAGGATGTCAGCCCTGGTCACAGACTCACCCTGTTTCATCCTTGGTGCAGATTTCCCAGTTCCCAGAACATTCCAGGCTGCAGCTTCACTGATGGCAGACTGAAACCCACAGCAGCCAGCTTTGCCAAGGGCTCTTGCTCTGTTCCAAGCCTTCTGCAAGTCATTTTGTGCTGTTGAGCTCTCAGCTTACAAGTTCCTCTTATTAAACTGAATGCTGTTCCCATTTCTAGCTGGGTTTTGAGGGATGGGGTGCAGAGATTGGTGCCCATGTTGGGAGATGTGGGGCTGCAGCACAGCACAGCTTAATTGGGGTGCTGCTTTCTGCTTTTGAACTCGTCATCATTTATGAACAGCTTTAACATGTCCCCTGGTTTCTCCCCCCCAAAGAAAATCTCATGTTTAATGAACTTAATTTTAGATAAAAGGAATGAAAAGAAGAAAATTAAAAATGCATGAAGCTCCTGGAGTCATCCAATTACTGTGATGTCCACACAGCAACGCCAGCATGGATTTCACAAAGCAAGGAAAAGCAGGAAAGCACTGGGGCTTGCCACATGTAAATGCTGCTCTGTTCCAAAATGTGCTGAATTACAAATGGACATTTTATGCATTTCTTCTTCTTGATCTGCTGCAGAAAAAGATAAAGATCAAACATGCCAGCCCACCCCAGCAGCGCCTGTCTGCATACCCACAATGCTTGGCTGCTTCTTCCCAAACCCTGTTTAGTGCTGGAGTCCCAATACTGGGATGCCACAAGCCTCGGGAGGGGACAGTCAGAGCAGGAAAACGCTGCAGGTCAGACAGAGCACACAGACAATACATAGGATCCAGTATGTTTATTTGGTATTTAAATTTGGTTTGCCAATTCAGTGACAGGCAGTTCTTCAGCCTGTGGCACACTCACTGTGTAAAGGAAAACACAGTTTGTTTCTTCCCCAAAGTCAGTGGGAGAAACTCAGTCATAGAAATCATCAAAGTCGTCTGAATCCGTGCTGTGGGTCTGTGGGCGCAGCGCAGCCTCGAGCTCGGAGCTGCTGTCATCAGATTCACCCCAGAACGCTGTGGGTGAGAAGAAGGAAAGCAGAGGTGTAAAACCTTTTCTGTGGCTGTGCCACTCGTCACAGCCACGAGCACGAGGCTGACTGAGGGCTGGGAGTTGGGAGCCCAGCCCCAGGTGTGCGTGTCTGGCGCAGTGTCCGGCAGCGCAGCGGCTGTGCTGGACAGCGGCCTCATTCAGCGCTCCCACTCCATTGTGCCACAAGGTAGCTGGGCAGAACATTTCCACTCCAAGCAATTTACTTGACCAGCTGCTGCCTGAATTGCAGCTTTGTCTACTCTCTTCCCTTTTCTCCCCACTACTTGACCCTGCGATGAAGTCACCAGCGGGCCATGACATCAGAGTTGGCACAAAAATGGCAATGACATCACAAATGAAAAATCACCACTTGCAGATCAGAGCAGATCCAGGCAGGCCTGATCTCACTGGAGCACATGGCTTTAACCTTAGGAATCAGCAAACCCTTTCACTGACAGCAGCAGAATCCCACAGCAGTTCAGAGTGCCTGAGAGATTTCTGGAGATGTGAATTCTTCTGACCCATGGATAGGACAGAGCAGGAAGTGTGGCACATGAAATCAGGGCCACAGTGGCTGACAGAGCCGTGCTCTCTGTTCCCACCTAATCCACAGGCTGCTGGCTGTCTAAAGGCAGCGGGGATGAGGCCCAGGGCTCAGCAAGGGACAGCAGGAGGGGGAAGGCTGTCACACTCACACAGACACTGCAGCTCATGTTTGAGGCACTCTGGTGCCTCTGATGGCACCAGCTCCATGAACACCTTATCTACAAATGCAGCATCTGCATCTTTCATCCTCCATCCCCGGCCCCCTGGGCCGCAGGAACATCAGAGCCATCCCTGTGTTGGCTGCCATGCTGAACAGCTTCAAGACAGGAAAGGGGCCAGGCATGCCAGAGCCTTTCAAGTGCCACCAAAGCAGCTGTCCTTGATGGCATCTGTACCTCAGTTCAATGCCACACCTCTAAAACCGGGCCATTCTGGACTGCCAGCAGCCAGAGCAGGGCTCCAGGCAGAGAGATCCTGGCTCCCAGCGCTGCCCCGCTGGCAGGAGGCTCCGTCAGAGGCAGCTGCAGGCCCTGGAGGGCCTTGCAGGGGGTAAAGGGGGAACTGGAATGTGTGGGCAGCAAAAACACGCAGGGTCCAGACACCAATTCAGAATAAAAGCAGCCTGGCCACACAAAACCCTCCAGCTGCACCCACCCAAGTCCCAGGTCAAGGAATGACCTGGTTTCTCTTTCTCCAGTTCCCTCCACCTCCTGTTAAGTTGGCGTTTGATTAAACCCTGCCAAGATCCCAACCCATTCCACAGCACCCCCCACAAACACCTCCTCTCTGCCCTGGATTTGTCTTCCTCAGCTCCCTGCTGGCTCCCACTGGAGACAGGAAAATTCCATGCTTCCCCTTCCCTCTACCTTATACAGGTCATAATGTTGTTCTGGGAGGGCTTCTATGGTACAAATTTAACTAGAAAGACACTAATTTTCAGTAGTGTAACATTGGTCTCTTACCTTTGGATTTTATGGCAGGTACTGTTTCCTTCCGCAATTCAGTCCTGTAAAACATTTCAAACAATCAGCACAATGTCTCCAATAAAAAAAATAAGTGACTTTTAAAAAAATACTGTGAAACGGTTTGAAAAAACAACAGCCTAGTAACTTCTGTAACTATTTTTTTTTCAAATAGGTATTTAATCACGGACTTCTTCACCTAAAAGGTGGAGAAATTCACGTGCAGGAGGGACTCCAGCAGTTCCTGGAGTCATTCTCTGGTAACAGCACTGATTTACACCAGCACTGAGTTAAGGTACAGAGGAGCAGGGCCCTGCCAAGCTGCTGCCGCCTTTCAGAGCACGCGAAGTACGGAAAGACAAAATCCAAACAAAACCAAATCCCCCCAGTGCTGCTCCCTGCACTTCCTCCAGGTCCTGGTGCTGTCCCCCAGCCCCACGGCAATGTGCAATCTCCACTGCCTTTGATCTACCTTGATGTGTGTGCAGCCCGAGCCTGCTCTGCTAAATGGCTGCTCTTGTGTCTGGAGCATCACAGGCCCTTTTGAATCTCTCAAACAAGCTGGAATCATTTTGATCTTTTGTGTGCCGCGCATGCATTGTGCTGGGGCTGGGGAATAATCACACAGGGGCAAACATGGGGGAGAATTAACTGTTACAGCAGCAGTCCTGCAAGAAGCTCCAAAAATAAAGCTTCAGCTGATTTTAATAAGGAAGATCAAATAGGAGATATTTGGGACATCACTGGGCCAAGCAGTGAAATATAAGTCAATGTCGAGGTGCAGTTTGAAGCTGTGGCCTCAGGCACAACAGGACTCTGAAATGTCTGTGATTTGCTGTGTTTCATTTAAAAATGTGGCAGCCAATACAGAAGTGTTTAAAGTGGGGAGCTACAAATATTCCACTATTGTGGAGTCATTTGTGAAGGAGACAAACAAAGCAAAGATGATTCCTTGCTAGCGTTACCCCCAGTATTCAGTCAGAATTTGGGATTGCAGCTGGAAAGGCACATGTAAAATTTCACACACTGCAGCTACCAGTGGTGCAGCCACTCTTCCTTTTTACCCAGAGAAAGCTCCCACTGTTTAAATCTCATTTCCTCTCCAAAGGCTCCTGCTTTGTGGACAGAAATTCCCAGAATATTAAACACAGCCCAGGTTCCACCAAGGCACCAAACCAAGGCAGAAGTGCCAGTACCGAGTGACAGCACTAGCAGAGTACTAACAGTGATGTAACTCATAATGACCTTATTCAGTGAAAAGCTTTAAACTGTTGGGCTTCAAATGTTTCTCCAACATTCCTTTAGTGCACCAGTCCACCAGCTTTTCCTTTTATTCCAAACAGTACTTCACACTGTCTTATACTCTCACTTCTCCTTTAAAGGCCTCCACTCGACAGGATATCCAGACAGGATTTTAAACTGGAGCCTCTGTGCTGATCCTGCTGAACACCCTGAGCTCCTGCTCCCTTTTGCCAGATCTCCTGGTCCTCAGCACTTCCCAGGAGGTGCTCCATGCATCCCAGCCTATGAAAATGTGCTCAAGAGGCTGCACTGTTTTCCCTAGGGTATGGAGCAGGAAAACACTTGTTGCTGAGCTGAAGCTGGTGAGGTTCCTCCTGTGGATGTTGGCACAGGAACCATTTCAACTAGCTGAGGAGAAGATCAGGGGGCAGCAGCCATTGCTTCCCCCTGGCCACATCCCATCCTGCTGCTGGAATGGGAGCGTGGGGTTCCTGGGATTTTCAGTTAACTTCTCACAAAAGCCATTTGACAACTGAGTTTTCCTCAGTTCTATCCCACTTCTCTCCGTGCTTGTCCCACAACAAACACCAGCGGGTCAGTGCTTTGGGTCTAGTGCTGAGGATCACCAGGAAGGACTGCCCACATCTCCAGGCCTTGGTGTTCCAGATCCAGCTGAGGGATCCATGGAGAAAGGACCACCACGGCTGTAGAAACATCTGAAGACCTTCCCACTGCCACCAGAGCTTCACACAAAGAGAAAGATCAAAGCTGGCAGGAGAGCAAGGAGAGAGATGTTTGTTGTGACCATTATCTGCTCCCTGGGGTTCATCTTCCAGGGCTCACCCACTAGGTGTGGAATGGGGTTCACTCCCCAAAAAGCCAAGCACAGCCATCCCCAGAGAAGGGAGATGGGGACAGGGTGGCAGCAAAGGCTCGGCACGAAGCTGTCAGCACACAGATACAGAAAACAGAGCGAGGACATCAGAAAGGCCAAAGGGGGAACGGCAGCTCCAAGATGAGCCCAAACCTGGGGAATGCAGCAGGGGATAAATGCTGGGGTGAGGTGTGTGCGGCTGGGGAGGTGCAGCAGCACCTTGGCGGGGTGCAGCAGCTGCGCTCACCCACAGCCGCAGCGCACAATGGGCACAGACCTCCGCCGAGACAGTTTCGGGCTGCAAACAGAGCCAGGCCGGTTCCAGCGCCTCCACTAATCCCCCGCCGTGACCCTCCGATATCCATTTACACATTTGCTTCTTCCATAAAATAATTCCAAACTGAACCCAGGCTCTGACAAAGAGAAAACCCAAACCAGTTTCACTTCAAAGAGCCTTTTAATCTCTCCATTTCTCTGATGAAACAGGCTTTTTGTGTATTGAAGATGCTGCAACAGTAAGGAATGAAAAAGCTCCAAGAAAATATTTTTTCCTCTATAATGAAAATTAATATTAAGAGGATGATGCCTTGTGAAGGCTGACCTAGAATAAAGGCTAGACGGAGTTAAAGAAAAAAGTAGGGATTTATTAAAAGGATATCCTCAATGGATACATCTTGGGCAGTACAAGAGCCCAGCCAGGGCTACAGCCAAGATGAACCAAAATGGTCACAAAAATGGATGACTGGTCACAAGGTCCCTCACTTTTATAAGTTCTGATCCATTTGCATACTGGAGTTAATTGTTGAATTATAGCTTTAGGTTAGGAAGTCTCATCCTTGCTTTTCTCTCTTTATTCCGCTGTTGTTTGTGCTCTTGGGACTGAGATTTGGATTGTTTGTCCTTGGTCCCCAGCTAGAGAGGGAATTGTTTTGTCTCCCTACTCTGTGAAGAGAGCTTGCTATCCCTTAATATGAAGCTCAGATCTACACACTAAAGCAGTACAGAATCAGAAAAATATAAAAGCTGAAACCTGAGGCATCAAGGAAAATTCCAGGACAACAAGAGCCAAGGTAATCAAGGGAGCTTGCTGGAAAACAGCAGAAAACATTTACTGTAGCCTGAGGTCTTCTTGCTAAAGCACCTGTTGAACTTCTATGTTTTAGTGTCAAACGAAAAAGACGCCCAAAAATTTGGGAAATCTTAAATGCCAAGAGAGGAACTTTCCCACCCTGGGAAACCAAGTACCTACAGTACATATTCTGCACAGTGTCACATAGGCAGTATAAACTCAAAAGTCCATTCATCATGCCAGAGCTGGAGTAATAACACTGAATTTCAGTAATTTCACTGTGAGTAGGACGACCCTTATTTTAGGATACAAAGATTTCTGTCGAGCTGCATCTAAGACCGGTCTCTGTTTGGATTCACCACGCTGGAGAAAAAAAACCCCACTGACACAAAGATGCATCACAACACTGCAAGGAAGCTCTGCAGGAGAGCAGGGGCAGTGCCAAAAAATCCACTGTTCCCTCTGTGCTCAGCTGGCAGATGTTGGTGCCTCTCCCCACACACCTGGCAGGGCACTGCTTCTGCAACAGCTGGGGGTGCAGGCAGAGGAAACAAAGCTCACACAAACAGCTGGAACAGCAGAGAATCCTGCTGGAATTTTCAGTCAGCTTCTTACAAAAGCCATTGGACAACCGGGGGGGGATAAAACCATCAGATCCTGCCTTGTTTCTGGGTGCACCTCTCAGGAATCCAGACCGACACAATGGCACTTCTCCTGGATTTCCAAGGGAAAGGCATTTGTGCATATGCTGAGTTGCTGCCAGCCCCAAAGCTCTGGGATGTCTCCTCAGAGCACAGCAGTTTTCAGTGTCAGGACTGGTTCAGGAAGGGGGAAGTGGGGGATGCACAGAGCCCGAGTGCCCCCCGATGGCCAAAGCCAACGAGCTCAGCACCGATTAAGAGATGAATCAGACTCTGCCAACTTCTATTTGCATGTCACTACAGCTGTGTTGGGCAACAGGGCTGAAAACCAGCCTTCAGAGACCCCCCCCAGAGTCCTTCCAGCAGATTAATTAAAGTTTAAAAGACTTTATGCCGTGTTGGTGTCCTGACAAATCCAAAGCGGGCTTTGGTTCTCAGCTGATAACGCACCTTTAATCTCCAGATTATTTGGAAACGAGACAGCGCAAACAAGTCAAAGAAAAATAAAACGCCTGCATCCGAAATGGGGAATTCCCAGAAAGCGAGTGACCTCCACTGGCTGCATCCATCACTACAGCCCCCCGGAATGCCACACACATAGCTGCCCACCCGCCTGCACTCGCCGGCATCCTCAGCCCTGACTTCTGATACCTTCTCCCCCAGGACCACGCCACTTCACGCCCCCTCGCCTGCTGCAGCACCCCGACACCCCACCCAAAGGTGCATCTCTGTGTGTAGAAATATTCCCCCGGGAAAGTAAAGGAGCCAGGGAAAAGCGGTTTTCTTGCTGGAGGTAGAGCAGGCGGCATTTGTGGGAGAAGAGGAAGCTCTGGCATGCACCACTGAACAAAAGGGAACAAGTGGTCTTTACTCGGAGAGCAGCTTCCTATTAAGACTCACTCCGTCGTACATTATGCCTTTCATCCCCACTCAACCACAAAATGATTTTGCTGTAGGAAATACAATGGCAGAAAAAGATTTACATTGAAAGAATCTTTAATAATAAACTGTTGCAGATCTGCCTACTTCCCCATGATTTATAATACAATAAACATCGGATTCTATTAAGTCTCATGCACTGAAGACATGCACTGAAAACCCGAGTATGAAAGCCCTCAATTCTTCCCTTCTCCAGGCCCATAATAGTGAAACGAGCATGGATAAATGTGCTAAGAGTATCTCTTTGCATCTTTTATAGCTTGTGTGTATCAATCTGTAAAGCTTATTAAGAAAGTCATTGCTATGCAAAACAGCACCCAATCTCTTTCTCTTGCTTTTCAACAGCGCGCAGTGTTTAGCCAATAGGGCCGGGCCCCGGCCCCTCATTCCGCATTCATAACATGCAACATTTGCACAATGTGTATCTCAAAGGCTGCTGAATAGAAAGCCTTAATACTCATGTAAACAACTGCAAACCAATTACTTAATGAATCAGGCCCACACATAATGAGGTGCCAGACAAAGAGCTATAAATGCATTTTTGCGCCCGAGCCTCCGCTTTAAAGTAAAATCCCTCAGCTGTAGTTTGGGCTTAACTGGCACATGATAATTATTGTCTGGGGGACATCAGAGGAGCCACGGTTTTTATTCCGGTCCGGCGGGGTCCGCGCCGAGGTCACTCATCAGCTCAGTGACAAAACGCGGCAAAGGAGAATTTATAAAGTGCCACGGCCGAGCTCGCAGGGATGTTTATTCTCAAGTAGTGGGTTTGAGACCACTTGTGAAAGCAATAAAGCCCGAGGAGTGGCTGCCGGGAGCAGAGCTGCAGTGCCGCAGAACTGCGGCACAGCACGGCACAGCAAACAGCTCTGCCTCTTCCTCCTCCCTGTGCTGCGCTCCGGGCACCCAGGGCTGCTCCCAAACCCCACTGTGGCCGTGAGAAACTAACAGAAACATTTACAGAAACTAACTCTAACACTGACTTACAGCTTTATTACCATGGCTTTGTAAAGCAGCATCATCGCGTGTCCCTGCACAAAGTGTGCTGCTGCTGCTGAGCACTGAGAGGCCTGGAATTATAGACCAGAGGGAATTATTTGAAATCTATTACAAATCAAAATTGGAGAAAAAGCAAAGAAAAAGGCAAAAAAATGTACAGCATCTAACCGAGGGAGAAGTGGCTGCAGGCACGATTGGCCGGCAGTGTAGCAGCAATGCGGTTTATTTTGAAGAGTTTTTATTTTAAATAAAAAATAGTTAATTTTAAATTACACTTTTAACTCAGCCGCAGTGATCCTGTAAGTAAGTTCTCAGGGCCCTATCCTGCTCTTCCTGCTGTTCCAGGCTTCAGGGAAGGGCTAAAATATAACATTTCAAAAACTCATCTACAGGAACACCCTTGCATTTCATAGCACAAGGCAGGATAAATCATTGGCTCGTCATTCTCAAAGTGCCAGAAAATACGAAAAGAGAAAACAATTGAACCTAAGATGGTAAGAATTAATCCCACACAAAAGCAGGAATGCCAGTCATCAATGCTCGGTTTCAGCCCATATTTAATGTGCTTGAATTATAGAAACTCTATGATTTAAACAGCAATTGCAGAATCAGAACTGGCCTCACCCACAGCAGCCTAAAAATCTGTGCAGCAAGAAGATTAAAGCAAGGAGCAGCTCATATCCTGAGGTGTTCCAAACCTGCAGTGTTTGATCACAGAAACACCAACCTTAACCCTGGTCCAAGTACCAAAATAAATCAGGGGAGCTTCAGCCCTTTTCTGTCGGGGTTTCTCCCTCATGGAACCATTTCCAGCGTTAGAGCCTTACCTGAAGAAGAGAGGAGCACTTCCATTCGACAAGGAGCTGCTTTCCAAATGTGTTCCCAAACTGTCACTTCCTTCAGGACTGTCGTGGCTGTGATCCCCACCTGTGCAGGAAAAACAGGACTATGAACCTTCCAAGTTCCCATTCACATTAAGCAGAAATGTTATTTTTGTTCTCCTTCCCCTTAAATGTAGATTGTTTTGGAATGTTACAGTTCTGTCAATGCTATTTGATACTTCTGTGTTTTCAACCATTCTCTTGAATTAGACAAAAATAAATAAATCCTATAAAAATAAAATTAAACACATATCTTGAGATTTTTGTGACTTAAACAGCCAAACACACAACTATTTCAAAACCTGTTATCCCCACTTTCCTTTCTTCCCTTTTCCCCTGCTCTGTGGATCTCATTTCCATTCTGTAAAGATTGATTTAGAAAAAAAAAAAAAAAAAGAAGAGGCAAATGGATTCATTCACTGGAGTCAGACAATTGCTCATCTTTGTATTCGTTTCCAAAGCACACGATGCTCAAGCACAAATCCCACTTTAAAAGGCTGCTTTGCATACATATATTTTCTATATATGTTTTTATCTACAGCACTGAAACTACAACCAAGCCCTACTCTCACCAATGTCCCTACCCAGGATAATTCAGTATTTCTGTCCACATTGGATTCTCCAGTTCCTAACTGGCTGTAAACATTCCCAGTCCCTTCTGCACTTGGATTACAGCAGCCAAAGTCCTGCTTGGTCTCAGGCACTTCCAGAAAAGAGGTGCCAGAGTCTGCTCAGGAGGAAAGAGAAATCAAGAATAAGAGTGGAAAAAAAATAAAGGGGTTTTAAAAAAATAATTATCCCCCCTTTCCCATGATGTATCACAGCTCATGGCATTGCCTCTCCCTCAAAACCAGTGCTCAAGCTGCTGCTGCCTCTGCTTAGAGATGGATGAAGAATTGCCACCCAGAATTCACAATTTCACAGAGACTCAGAGGTCCTTGAGGAACTTAATTGTCCAACATAGCTGCTGGATGGCATCATCCACACTGACCTAAGGGCAGCGTCCAACCTGGCGCTGGCCCAAGGAGCTTCCTCCATCCCAGACATATCAAATGATATCAAACAGAGCAAAAGGTTGAGTGAGACTTATTAAATGCCTTAACTGGTGCACTCCAAGCAGCACCTCAGAATCCTCAAAGGAGAACCTCACCAGGAAGGACACGTGGGTATGGGAAAAGTGGTCACACCATTGTTGGCTCATTAAAGGTGGCCTGAAAAGGAAGGCAGAATCCAGCTTGTGCTTCCTCATGTTCCCATATAATACCTAAAAAAGAGCTGATTTTTTCTTTGCAATAGGGCTGTTCCTCCTTATTCCTACAGGAGATTTTAGGCCTGGAGAGCAGCTGGGGGTGCTGTTCCAGCTGTTTAAAGCAGAGCCCAAGGAGTGGAGCAGTGACACCATTTTTATTCAAATCCTCTACAGCCTTAACGCCTGCTCAAATCAAAGACAAGTGAAGGGAAGAGAGAGAATCTGGTTTTGTTAAAGATTTAACAAACCTGCCCCTTCAATAAAATCAGCAATTTCCTACTCATAAATGAGACTCTTAAACAGTCATCCAGCAAAACAAGAAATAATGGGTTTTATCCTTCTTAATCTCACATTATTCACCTACCTCAGGAACAGCAGAAGAGCTGAACAATTTCTTTTGAGTCTTCCCCATAAAAAACAAAGCATCCGTGGAGGAGCTGAGAATGAGCCCCGCTCTCCCCCTGTATCCTCACATAACCTGGTACCACAGGAGCCTGCTGTTATCAGCCAGCTCCTCCCTGGGCCAGCTGTGGACCAGGTACAATCCCTTTAAAGCCCATTGTTCACAGGTGGCCTCCCATGAGCTCTGGACAGGGCATTAAAGAACCAACACAAATATTCCTGGAATATTTACAGATATTCACATAAATTAATGTTTTGGTTCTCTTTTTATGTAACAGAATAAAAGAAAAATGAACCAAAACTCCAGAAGTGTTCCCACAGCGCTGCCCTAAACACTGCTTGGAAGTGTGTCCACACAGCTTTCACAGTGAAGTCTATCAAACCCCAAAGCCTCAAAAGGCTTTTGGTGTTTCAAACCAACACTTAAAAAATGCAGCAAATACCGAAATTAAAAAAAAAAAAATCAATCCAAATTTGTATCCCTTAAGTTCAGAGAAAGTCATACAGCAAAACAATCATGTATGAATGGCTGTCAAATATCAGTTCATCTAAACCCCTCAAAACAAGTTGTTTGAGCCCAAAAGCCAACACACAAGAGATGTGGCTTCTGTTTTAGGCCCATAATGACTCCAGAGCCCCCGGGCCACAGCAAATGGTGATGATAAAAGGGAATGAGCAGCTGCCTGGCAGGGAGAGGAGGGGAGGGGAATCAGAAGCCCGCAGAAGATCACGGGCTGAAGATGAATCATGTCTGAAAGGCGCAGCTTGGCTTTCAAGTGAGGTGTGAGAAGCCTCACTCCCGGAGACACAGGAACAGCAGAGACAGCTCCCTCACAAGAGACGGGCTGGAACTGGGTTACTGGGTTTGGCTGAGGAGCTTCTTGGCATTTTTACACACAGCAAGCATTAGGAGCTGCACGTCTGCTCCATCAGAGAGCCAGGAGAGGTCAGGAAGTCTCAGCAATGGCACTGGCTGGAGGGAGCCACTGTTATCAGGCATCTTTGGTACAGGAGGCAGAGAGGAGGAGGCTCCTGGCTGGCACAGGCACGGCTCCTGCCTGGCAGAGATCTGCCCCGCGCTTATTCTAATGATCCCCAGTCAATTACTCATGGAAAGAATCAAACCAGCACTCTCTGGAGCTGCCATATAATTACTGGATCTCCACCACAGACGCTGACCCCTGTAACACGGACGGTGGGCTCTGACAGGCTTGCAGAGTGGATATTCACACGGTGAAACATGGAACATGATTACAAGGAATTAAAGAGGCACCGTGCTCCCCACCTTTGTTTCTGCCAACGTGGGCCCTGTGATGTGACATTTAATCTGTGCTCAGGGCGAGCAGCTGGGTTTGCTCCCTCTGAAGTCGCCCGCGGCACGGAGCCGCCGTGGTGGGATTGTACAACCCAGGCGAACGCTGGGCCTGAGGTTAATATGCAGCCATCCCTTCCACCTGTAATGGGAATCTTTCCCACCACACTTCCTTGCCTGCTCTCATCTTCACTCCAGCCTGTAACTTGTGGATGTGAACACACCGTAATGAAACCATTTCAAAGCGGCAGCCATCAGACCAGTTTGCTTGCTTTTAAGCCCTACTCCCTTTAATTTCCCACTTTTGTTATCTCTTGTTTATTGATCTAAACTATCCATTACCGCTCATAAAAGCAGCGCCCACTGGGAACTTGCTACCCTGCCTCTCTGTAGCTTCCTCACAGAAGGACAAGCCAACCAAATGTCCTGAGGAATTGAAGACTCGTGGATCTGGGAAACAAACAACCTGCAGCAATGCCTGGTGGCAGTGACATGTGCCAGACCTACTGCAGGAAATTAGCTTAAATCAAAGTCTGGTTGTCTCTGCACATAAGAATGGTGTGGATTTCGGAGCCTGGAGCAGCCTGTTTGCATTTGCTGTGCAAAGAGCACAGCAGCCTAATTGCCTGCTGCTGCCAGACTGCAATGGAAGGGGTGCTCCAGGAGCAGAGCATGCGAGCTGCCATCGCTGGAATAATGTATTCCCTCCTTGCGTGAAGGAACGAACTGGGCTCTCCCCAACACTGGCACATCCTGAGCTGGGAAATGGCCTCACATGAACCCTTTCATTTTGGCAATTCCTTCTGTGGTCTGGCTTTGTCATAAGAGGCAGCAAATACATCCCCCAGTTCCTAAATGGGACATGCCTTGCAAACATGCACACAAAACTCACTCATCCATTTTACAGTGACCACAGGGCCTGGCCTTTTCTCTCTTGCAGAAAAACCCACCACCACAGGCATCATTTAGTTTGGAGAGCCATAATCACAAAGGATACCAAGATATTGAGGAAAATCCCCCAAATCATCACAAATGTACATTGATCTACCAGTGGCTATGTCCCAGTCCCCTGGGGGTTTGGACAGAACTCCCCTATGTCCAGAGCAGGAATCTGCAGTGGCAGCCAGAGCTGGAACACCCCTTACCTCGTTCTTGCCATGCCAGTTCCCCCTGCTTTCCTTCCCCGCCGTTGGTCGGGATCGATGGCAGGCCAAGAGAGGATTCATCACTCTGCACAGGTGGCTCATCCCCACGCTCTCCTGGAAGGGCCTCTCTCAGCACAGTCTGAGCATTCAAAACAGAAACAGCCACAGCTCCATTATCCTCCCTCTCGAGCGTTTTCCAACAAGCATTCAGACTAATCTACGCTCCCAGAGTAATCTGCTTTCAGGGTGCTTCTGTTAGATGTTCCACTACCTGACATCTAGGGTGTTCCTCTGGGGCTGGTTTTGGGACAGAAATATGGACTCGAATCTGTAATATTTACTCTATGTTCTGCCCTACTCTCTCACTGATTAGTAAATCAATTAACATCACAGTAAGGGGCTGAGGCACTCACAGCCTATGGAATACCATTTCTATTGATTTATTTAAATAATTGGCTATAAACTTTTGCATTAACTTAGAAAAACCATGAGTGTGCTACCATTTATAAATGCTCTGTGTGTTCAGCACCAAACCTCACTCTACTTTAAAAAGTCAAAATACATCATTCATTATAAAAATTCACAGAGAAAGACGAAGATAGAAGCCTCACGTTGGTTTGCACCAGAACAAAGAGGTGAGCTTGTTCCAATGCCTGATTGGCATAAAGAGTGAGAACATTAAAAAGTCCCTTTTCCTGTGGGATGAAGCACTGGACATACTTCCCCAAGACGCCAGGGCTGGTTAACCACAGACTGCCCCTTGCCCTTGCCCTGACTGCCACACTGTGCCAGGGCACAGCCACAGCAATGCAGAGCCTCCAGTGCCCCTGATTTACCCAAGGTGTCAGTGCCCACCTGGCGCTCCTGCTCCTCCTCTCCTGAAGCCAGCAGCTGCTCAAACATCTCTGCCACCTGCTCTGGGAGCTGAACCTGGTGCTGCTTCAGGAACAAGCCATGGTGGCTCAGGAGAGTCCTCACCGTGTCCGTGTCCCTGAGGAACAAACCGGCACCCTCAGTGAGACACCCCACCCACACGTGCTGGGAAAAGCCACCACCCATCTGGTCCTTAATTCCCACTTTTTCTTTTAAAAATGCTCAAAGGAGAAAATGTAGGAAGCCATGTGTGAGTTCTGCAAGATGGTCAGGGCATCATCATCACCATGCCTGCCTTGTCCTGAGGCTCAGGACCCAAAGACACAACCCTGGTCTCAGCACCTCGCTTACTCCCTGGGGCACAGCCTGGCACACACTGCCCGAGGCTTGTCTTTTGCTCAGAAAGAATAAAAAAGGAAAAGGAAAAAAGCAACTAAGGTGTCTTTTAATGTAGAAAATCTCAATCCTGCAATCCTTTTGTTTGCCAAAGCTGTTTTTTTTTTTTTCCTGCTGCTCCAGTGAAGTTTCAGAGGAGTGAATTCCAATTAACTCCAGGAGTGTTTGTCCCTAAGAAACCATTCAGGAGACACAAGGAGCTGTTGGTGCTCGCAGGCGTATCAGCCTTGCAAGAGAGGCAGGTACTGCAGAGAGACCCTTCTGCAGCGCTCACAAGTGCCCCATCCTGCCAGCACTTGAGCACTGCGGAGCCTGCGACAGGGAGGGAGGTCTAGACAGAAGCTAAGCAAGGCAGAATGGAAATTGTTTTCATTCCTAGGTTAAAGAGATTTGAAAAAAAAAAAAAAGTAATTCTCACTTGTCCTTGTGGCACATGCACGGAAAAAAAAAGCCCATTTTGTGTAACTGCACTTTGTTGTTTTCAAAGGCCACGTGCATCTTCTGTCTCAAACAGAATAATTTCCTTCTCAGAATTACATTTGTCGGCCTTACTTTCAGATCCTGGGAATGGCTGGCTGAGAGGTGTCTGGAGTTCCTGCAATTCCCTACCTGCCAGAGAGTGGGAGACACTGTGGACCAGATGAGCTGGGAGGACTCTGGGGCTGCTCTGTGGAGCAGGAGCCACCACTGGGGAAGGGAGGGAAATAAGTGAACTCCTGAATGCTCGCACTGTGAGTGCCACAAGGCTCTGTGCTCCGGCGGCTCCGTTTGCCAGTGCTGGCCTGGCTGCCTCGGTGGATCCAGGGCAGGGACAGAGATGTTCCTCAGCCCTGGTGGGTTCTGTGTCCCCCATACCTGGTGTGCTCCTCCTGCCCTGCTCTGCCCACGGCCTCGTTGGTGTTCTCCAGTGGGAGGCTCCCACTCTGCATGGACTGGGACACGGCCTGGAGCTGCCGCAGCACCACGGCTTCCATCACCTCGAGGTCACCCTGAGCCAGCCCGCTGGGCCCAGCACAAGCACTGCAACACAAAGCAGGGAGGATGAGCCCTGTGAGCACAGTCTGGAGACAGGACAGCCCGGGCACAGCCAGAGGGACAAACAAACATCATGGTGCTCTGTGACACACGTGGGACAGGACAGGGAGGTCACACTCAGCACTTGGAATGTACCAGGTGCAGCCACCCAGGGAGAGGGAAGCTGAGCACATCCCCTCCAGTGGCAAGCTGGGGGGCAGGCCTGTTTGGGGCTCCTCTTCCCTAATTCCTGAGGAATCCTCCAATCCTCAACTGCCTAAAAGAGTCTGTGGAGGCTGTGCATCGTTGTCAATAAAGTTACCAACAATTCCCACTTCTGCACCTAGGGGACCAGAGGCTGAGGAGGGACAGTGAGGGCTCTCCACCACTGGTTTTGGCAACACTCAGTTCCGGGGATTCCCTTTGCTCTCTTGCTCCATTTACTGTGTTTTTCTGGCACACATGGGCCGTTTGTTACCCGGGTGCATTCACTCACTCACCTGGGCAGCTCCACTGTCCCCGAGGGCTGGCCCTGGTACAGCGCCCGGTGCCGGGGGCTCATCCTCTCCACCAGCCCCTCCAGGAGCTGCAGCGCCTGGCAGAGCTCCTGGAGCTCGGCTCGCATCCCGCCGGACCTGCAGATGGACAGACAGGGTGGGAGGCACCAACGACGTGTGACAGAGTTCCAGTGCTTTCCCATCGCATCCCTTGGGAAAATAAACAGCTTCATTAGAGCCTTCCAAAGCCAACGGCAAGAACCACGCTCCCGAGCTCTGCAGGAAGGGGTAGGAGGGGGAAGCACATGAGCAAACCATCCAAAAATCAGCCCGGGCTGAGCCGGGGCTGCATGGAAATTGCTTCATGGAAATTACACCCGTGCCGAGCACTTTAATTCCTTCACCTCCGCAAGCGAAACAAATCTGGTGACCACCTACAGGTATGGGGACAGCCCTGGAACCTCAGAGGGGTTTTGATGAAGCTGCACCTCTATAATGATGCAAATGAGGACTTAACCACTGAAACAATGGCGCGGGCTAATCCCGGGACAGAGGTGTAAATGGCTATTCAGGTCCCCGGCTGCCTCTTTGTGGGGCTCCCAGCCCAGGTCTCGCCAGCGATGAACACCGCAGCTGGGGCAAAAGAGAGTTCTCTTTCTTTCTTTCCCCCACATGTAGGAGCTGACATGTTTCCACAGTTAACCCTGGCTTACTCTGCCTCCAGAGAGAAGCTCTGTGCACAAAAACTTGCAGCATTTGCACACTCATGCTGAGCTGTGCCCAAAGCTGTGTTTTCCCTCCGAGTGTTGGGCAACAGTGAACAATTAAGTGGGGGCTGCTGTGTCTTTAGTCGAGTTTCCTAGACATTTAATAAGCAAAACAATGCCCGGGAGATCACATAGGCAGTTAAACAGTGCTTTCTCTTTTCCCCCAGCCTTACAAACCCTGTATTCCAGCGGCCGGCTCGTTTCCCATTGTTTTCCTCCCGCTGGGTGGTCCTTCCAGGGTGCCACTCGAGAGGGATACAATAATAAAAAGGGAAGGGGAAGGAAGGGACACCAACATAAAGAAAAACAAAATGTATGACAATCTGCAGCAGGCTACGGATCAGAGGTCAGCAAACAAGAGGTCCTTCTCTTTTACAGGTTGCTTCCTGGAAACAGTCTGATTAAGCTGACAGCTTGAATTATGTGTTACATTTTGTAATGCACAATCCATCTGTGCTAAGTCCTCCTCAATGCAGCTGAAGCAGCACAGGCATTAGCTCTGCCTTTTTCCACCCCCTCAGCTCAGGCCTTAAAATAGTCATCATCTTTCTGCACACTAATTCTCAGAGACCCTCTCCCCCCGCCTGCCACCCCCCGGGTTTAAGCCCTCAAAGAAAGGGCTGGGTGCTGCAGGGAATGGTAAGAGGACACGGAGCCTTTGCCCTTGGATCAGCAGCTCCATGGGAGGGGACACCAGGAGCCTTCATGAGCCCCGTGGTGCCAGGGGGCTGCTGATAGAAAACCCATCCCAGGCTCTTCCCGTGGGGCTAGGTGGGAGAAGGCAGGGGAGCAGCCTCTGATCCTCTGGAACATGCCAACAATGGCCAGTTCTGATAACTGAGGCAGGAAAGCTGCAGCACCCTACTGTGACCTGCAACGAGATGGAAACCTTCTGCTCAATCACCTTTCCCAACAACATCTCCCTGCCTTGGCTGCAAACACTTCACTGCCGGGGAAAAAACTGAAAACTCCTTAAAAAAACAGAGGCTGGCATCTCTGCAGTAGGACAGGAGAGGTATTTGCTCTGAAGATAAAAATTTGTGGCTTCCTGGCACACAACAAGGACTGGTTTTGCCTCTGGAGTCAGCCATGGTCTCTGCTCCTTTCAACACCATCCCTTGTACTCATTTCAGGTAATTCACCAGAAGTGTATGAACAATTCCTTCCTTCTGATGCCACAGCGACACTGCTGCAGTGGGAAAGTCCAAGTTACAGATATTTCAACTTAAGGCAAAAAATGCACAGAATCTGGAGAATTTCAGCACATTTCTTCAGCCAGCACAGGAATTTCACAAGAGGAAACCACGGGGACTGGAAGGACATCACATGTTATGAATCCCTGGTGTGACAGAGCAGAGGAAGCTGCATTCCCATACTTTGTGTAACGTGTACAATTGAAATTCATGCACTAATAATCACTTGCAAGCTTTTCCACAAGATTTTTGGCCAATTAATTTTGCAAGGCTCTAGTGTGCACGCTGCATTCCAGGTGCCTTGGAAAGCTCACCTGGCCATGAGCACAGCGAGAGAACGGCTCCTGCTGGTGGATCTGCCTTTTCATTTTCAGGTAAAGCAAATTAAAACCTGTATCTTTCCTGCAGCACCAGCAAGCAGTGGTGATGATCCCACATCCATGGCCTTGAGAAGCAGAGGCATTCAGCTTGGCACAACGGGAGGAGAGCTCTGTGCTGCGGTTCCAGCCGTGTGCTGGGGACAATGCAGGCGCTCAAACCTTGTGTATAATTTCCCCGGGGCTCAAGAGCTGCTCTGTGTCTCATCAGGCACAGCACAGCAAGGCCTTGCAGGGAGGAACACAAGGTTAAACTGCTGGTGCTAGGGTCAGCTCTGACTCCTCTCACAGACACAGGCACTCGGTGCTCTCGCCTGCTCTGCTGTGATTAACAGGTGGGATACAAAGGGAGGACTGGGGGAAAGCTTTTTACATGTAAATCAGATGATGTTTCCATAGTGAGCAACAGCCCGATGCAAATAGGAAAGGATAAAGTTACTGAAGTTTCTGCCATGACCCCCAGTTTCTGCTCAGGTGTCAACACCCAAACCAGCACTGATATCAGCACCACCACAACATGCCCAGGTACAGAATTAACAGATTTAACAACCAAGATGGGAAAACCCAACCAACTGGCAGAAGAGAACTCCTTCTGCAGGAGCACTTGCTCTCTAGGGGTAAAAGCACTGTTTCCTTTGCACATCCCACTACAGACCTGCCAGCCCTCCTGGGTGACCCGGGCCAGCCCTCCTGGGTGACCTGGGCCAGCTCTGGGCACCATCTCACCGTGGGCACGGTCCCACCAGGACAGGGATGCACTTCCCTGTCTCATGAGGGCGTTGCGGGGCTGAAAATCCTGCCAGGATGGATTTAGTTCGATGCTCTGGAGCTGCATTTGCTGGCCACAAAATCCTGCAGCACAGGACAGGCTCTGTGTCTGCAGCAAATTGTCCTCGTCCTCTCTTACTCTATTTCCAAACAAAAATGTTCAAATAGTGGAAGTTTTACCAAGTAGAGTGACTGGAATAAGATTTGTGAACATTTAAAGAACATCATCTGCATTTTAGAAACAAATCCTTTTAGTACAAATCCACCTGCCAGTTCTGACCCCAGTGAGGTGCCCGAAGCCCCTGAATGCCCAGCACAGGTACAAGGTACTAAAGGACAGGGGAGAACCTGGTGTGAGCTCTGGTGCCCTGAGCAGCCCAGCTGACCCAGGAAACAGGGTAGGGAGGTGGTACCTGTGTGGTGCTGAGCTGTCCAAGGGCTCCTCCTGGGCTGCAGGAGGGTTCAGTGGGGGCAGCAGGGAGCCCTCTGGAGCCTGGGCATCCCTGCCCTGTTTTTGCTGCAGGCTGGGAATGCTTGGCCTCGCCTCCTCCTCAGCACCGGCAGGGACTGGGAGCTTGGCACTGCTCCCCTCCCTGTGAGCCCACCAGCTGCTCAGGATAGGTTCTGCCCCTGTAATAACAACAAAAAATAATAAATCAAAGATATAAAACCTGTAATTATTCTTCTTGAAACATCAGCAGGACCATGGAGTAGCTCACAGTGTAGGGACTGAAACCAAGCTTACCCGTGTTGCTCACCCTGTGTGAGAGAGTATCCATCCATCCATCCATCCATCCATCCATCCATCCATCCATCCATCTATCCATCCATCCCTGTGCCCCCGCTGTCTGTGGGTTTCCCTGCCCTCGGCCCCTGTCCTTGCACGCTCCTCTCACAAGGGGGAGTCCAGAGAGGCTGCAGCCTTTGGGGCTTGGGAACAAACCTGGCACTTCTCAGAAACCCCCTCTGCACAGAGACCAGCTAGCTGACCAAATCAGCCCTGGGGGAATCAATCAGCCATCATGCACCTGCTCTGAGAGAAAAGGGAATCAGCCTGACCCAGAAGTGACTCCTCTGGTGAAGCAGGTTCACATTACACCCGTCCAGATGAGGTTAGACTATGCCAGGGCCTCTGTGGGCACAGCAGTGAGGAAATCTTCCCTCACAGTGCCCCTGACCAGGATCAGCCCCCAGTGTGTCTTTCCCTGTCCCGTTGAGCAGCCTGGGATGAAATGGAGTCAAAAGGAGGAAATAACAAAGAGACAAAAAAGGAGCAAGAGCCACCACGCTCCAAGCCCAGTGCCAGAGGGGCAGGAGCAGCAGCAGCTGTGGGCAGGCTCTGGCTGGGGTGGAGGCAGACAGGAACACACACCACTGCCATACCTGGAACACTTCCCGCCCTTGGTGGGGCTGCTTTGGCACCAGAAGCTGAGCTGAGCTGCTCAGAGCCTTCCTCGCTGGCAGCCAGGTCCCCGTGTCCTGCTGCTCCCTCCTCACCCTCTCCAGCAGCGCTGCCGGTCTCGGGACTGACACTGAGCCCATCAGGGGATGGGGAGCGCAGAGGGGGCTCCTGCTCAGAGCCCAAACCTCCTGGGGCTGGGGCAGCTGAGGTGGGGCAGCCCTGCAAGGCTGCTGCTGGATAGCCCAGTTCTCCTGGCACGGCTGCATTGGTGCCAATTCCCACCTGTCCTCCGGCCTGCAGCACCTGAAACACACAGAGGGACATGGCTGAGGAGACAAACAGGACACAAACTGTGTGTGGCACATGGAGCTTCCTGAGGGTGGCATGCTGGGCTCTGAAAAGTGCCACAGAATTCAAGACTTTGCTGTGGCATTAATATGACACAACACCTGGCACACAGCCTGTGGGTCAGAGTGTGAAATGAGGGCCCAGGCCTGCATTAAAGCTCCAAAACATCCAGTGGCAGAAGCTGCCTGCACCCCCAGCCCAGCCAAAAGGAACCCATACACACCAAGGACTCAAACTCACCTAAATGGTGACTAGATTTTACAGAGTCAAACCTGTGGGATTAGGATCCTCCACAGTTTTGGAGACCCTGGACCAAAGCACCACATTTAGAGTTGCCCACAAGGCCCAGAGGGACCATCGTGTTCCATGTGTGAACCACACAGCAGATCCAGCTTCCCTCACACCATGCAACAAGGCAAAACTCAGTTTCACTGTCTCCCTCCTGCTCCTCCCATGGCAGTCACATAGCCTTTCCCACCAGGTGACACAGGACACGGAGCAGACACATTTTGAATGGCACTTTCCTCCAAGGACTGTTGAACTTGCACAAAACCAGCTCCAGGACACAACCACTCTGCTGCCAAATCCCTTTGTTCTAACACTTGCCTCTTCTCCTTTGCAAACCCACTCAATCAGGACAATTTAGGAGGAATGGCTGCTGTCACCACAACTGCTGTGAGGTCATGGCCAGTTTATACAAAGCCAAAAGTAGCCAAAGCAATGCCACTGTGCACACTGAGCAGGGCTTCCTCTCCAGCCCCAAATTCCAGCAGCACAATTTGCAGTCACCTCCACACCTCTCCCATCTCTTTCACTGCCTGACCTCTTCCTCCCACACCAAGTCAGCTGCCAAGCCCAGCTGAAAGGAAACAAAGGCATCTTGTCCGCTCTGTGACTAAGGTTCCTTAAAAAAGCTCAAATTCCACGTAACAAGGAGCAGAACAAAAAGCCATGAAGTCATTTTAAGCAGTAGCAAAGGTCTGCCACTCAGATTAAGTTCACAGCTTATTCCATCACCACTGCTCTCAGGTTCCTCCTAATTACTTCTCAGGCGTGGGATTTGGTGCTTTCAAACGCCTCCTGCTTGGCTCTGGCAGCTCCTGGATGCACTGTTCCAAAACAAATGGATTTCAAACAGGCACAGGCACAGCACACTCCTATCAATCCCTTTCCCTGGGAAGGGACTCTGCCACCCACAGGTGTTCCTGGGAGGTTCCAGCACGCCCAAAATGTTCTGAAGGCTCCAAGGAAGAGGCTCCAAGCTGACCTCCCAGCACAGGGGATCCAGGAGCCTGGGTTGTACAGCTCTGCCAGCTGGGAAGGAGCTCTTCAGGGTGGGACTTCTGAACTTAAGGACTCCCCTTGACACTGGGAGCCAAAAGTGCACATTTCCCATGGCTCAGGAACGTGCCAGACATTCCTGGAGGTGCTTCAGCACTGGGATATTGCTGGTTCTGGGATTGTCCTCCTGGGTCCCCAAGGCCCAGAGGTGACCCCCCAAGATGTCACTGAGGGAGTCATCAGTCACTGCATCCCAACCAGCCTGAAGGAAGCCCATCCCAATCCCAGGGCTGGGAAATAAAACCAGTTCCACAAGCTGTATCTGGACATCCCACGTGCTGACTGCACACTCTCTCTGTGACTGACTCAGTGCCACATCACTGAGAACAAACTCCTGTGCTTTGGACAGAAGCAGCACAATTGATGTGAAAAAAAAAAAAAGAATTAAGAGCTGAAACACACCACAGGAACATGACAAAAACACACAATGTAGCTGAAGTTACCTGTATTTTAGTAGGGAAGAGGAGGAGGAAGGGGATAAAGGAATCAACAATCCAATCCATTATTATACACAATTTGACATTTTTGGGTACACACCACACTGTCATAGTGCCAAAATCCTGTCCACAGTTTTTCAACCCTCAAGTCACAGAACAAGCCTTTGATGCTCTAGTACTGATGACAACTTTTCCATCAGCTGGAAATCCCATCTCCCACACTGCCTGCTCTAACTGGACAGCTGACATTCCAAAATAAACTCACCTTTCCCCACAACACCTCCCAGTTCAAACCACAATTTGCACCCTGCCACAGGCCTGCCTATATAGGTCAAGGCTGCTAGGCTTCACTGCTTTGTGTATTACAGTTTAAAGAACGCTCTAAATTCAAGGTTTTTAACTTTTTAATCTATGGGGAAAACTTCCTATAAACTCAGATTAACGACTGCTAATGCACTGAAGAAAGGAAACCAAAAACCTTCCTCCTACTATAAAAACAAAATAGTGTGGCCTCTGTTTCTTTTCTGATAAGAGTCTTAAATACCAAACATTTAACTGCATAATAACATTCCCTGGCAGCCAGCAGCCTGCTTAGCAGATACATAAAGCAGGTAAAAGGGGAAAAAGTTAATTTCTTGGCTGAATGATTCCATCGGTAGCTATAGGGCAAACTAGAAAGTCTTTTAGTAAAGTAGCAGTTGATTCTTCTATCAATCTGCAGCACACACACTCTTCCAAGGAATGCATTAAATATGAAAATCATATCCCGTTATCATCTGTTCCCAGCTTTCAGCCCAGTAAGCTTTCCTTAATGAATGCTGTAGCCTAAGGGACGCGCGTGCTGCCGGCTCCTCGGAATAATGGAGTGATGCTCCCGTCCTGCCTATTCCGGCGCCGCCTGGCTGAGGGGCTTCCACACACAGTCACAAGTGACTACTCTTGCCAGCATGCTCCAAGTTATTACAAGATGTTTTTAGACATTTCATCTAAAAGAGCTTTGCTGCTTTTAGTGGAGAAAACAGCTCTGGTCTTGAACTGTATCATTTATATGGAGATAGGAGGAGGGATTAGGAGCCTGCATTACTGCAGATATATGGCAGCAGATATTTAAGTATTCCTTGTCAGTCTTTTTGTCTGTTCCTTAGATATGCAATCTCCTTCTGCTCCTTCTGAGGAAAGGTCAAAACACACAAAATTATAAACACAGCACACGGCTCCTCGGCTGCAGTTCTGCAAATATCCCTCATTAGGAACATTTCCTCCTCGGTCACGACCATCTCCACACCATCCAGCACAGGAATTATAAAAGCCAACAAGAAGACGTGGGCAAACAGTCAGAGAGGTTTTTTTAATTCCGGCTCTCTGGATGAAACTATTGCACTTTTTACTGGTGGTTCTCCTTCTCTCGGGTGCTACACACAATTTCACACTGCACGTGCCAGCACTGCAATCCCCATGGAAAGGCTGTGCAGCTCCAAGGAGAGCACAGTTTGAATAAAGTCCATTTCCCCCCCATTACCTGCTTGCTGGGTCCTGCCTCCTTGCCACCTCCTGCTGACAAGCTGCCCTCTCGAAGGGATAACAGGTTTTTAATTTCCCTTCCGTACCGCTCCTACAAGGGAACAAATCCGTCACACAAAACTGGAGGCCGAACAACCCACCCCAGCCCAAGAGACACCACTTTGCAAAACATGCACCTTTAAATGCAAAGCCCCCACAGGCTTTTTAACTCAGACCATATTTAAAAGCAGGGATCTCATTTGCTCCTCATTTTTCTGCTCCCCTGCCCAGGCAGCGTGGCCTGTACACAATCTGCTGCAGGGCTTTCATACACATTTATTCATGCCCATCATTTAGAATCCCGCAGAACAGCAATAACCTGTTGGCTCATTTTATTGTATTTATTTATTTATTGTATTTATTGCATCCCAACCAGCACCTGTAGCACCAAAATATTGCTGCTGTGGTGTGTACCCATCACTTGGGATGAAACAAGCTCCACAATGTGTTTTTCACACCCCATCTTAAAACTGGCTGGGCTGTTGTGAGGAACAATCCCTGGCAGAATTTCCAGAGAGCAGCCCTGCAGGGAAGGCTCTGTTGCTGCACTCTGGGGTTTATTGGAGCAGAGTTGGGAGAGGAGCTGGGCAGCACCTGCAATTAATCCTGCATGCTGCTAACTGCAGCCCCCAGCAGCAGCACGCTGAGGCTGAAAGAGCTACAGGACCTGTGCTGCATCAGGGAACAGGCTTGGGAATGAATCCTTCACACAATTAACTCGCCCGCCTCTGCCCTTCACTCCGCTCCCAGGTAGGAGCCACTCAGGAAACCCAAACATGGAATTTTAGGAAACAAAACTTCACCATGTGAGGAGCTAAGATGCTCAAAAGAAACTCAGATGTAACTCCTGGATTTTGCTGAAAGCTGAAGTGAATTTATTTATACTCCTAAAAATTACTGACCAAACACAGGGAGCAAAAGTGCATCTTTCAGAAACAAAAGGAGGTTTGTGAGCTACAGCCACGTAATAAATGGGCACAGAGTTGTGATAAAGCATTCCTAAAGGGCATTCTCTATGGAAAAAAAGGAGAGAAAACAGCAATAATTTCTTCCTGTGTGCTCCCATGATAGATTAAATGATTGCATGCTCCATAACTCTCCTGCTTTCCATAACTAACACGGAGGAGATGTCATTTGTTCAGCAGCTCTGAAAAGTAACTGTAACTTGGCAAAGATAAAATGGATGGCACAGGAACACAGAAATGGAAGGACTGAACAAAAACCCCACTGAACAAAAGCCCCATGTGCAGCTCGACCTGTGGCACTGGGACTGGGACTTGCAGCAGGTGTCAGAGCCACCAGCCCTGACACTGGGCAGACTGGTGTGTACCAGGGCTGCTGAGGAGGAAAATCCCCTTCAAAACAGCAGGGGAAAGCTGGCACTGCAACACAGCCCCCTTCCTGCTCTGCTTCAAGTAACAAGTAAAAATCAGAGGCAGGGAATGGCACACCCCAGGGAAAGGCTCTGAATTCTGGGCTACTGCACTGCAGCCAGGGAAAGATGTTCTGGGAATGTCACCAGATCCAACAGGCTATGGCTGTGTGAGAAATAAACACAGCCAAGTGTTTCTGAGGAGTGCCACTGCTCTTAGAAAGCAGGAATGAACTAATTTCCCTCCCAGACTGTGCTCCCTCAAAAACCTGGCTCCATGCATCAGTGGCACAAGCAGACGTTGCAATTTCATTTTTAAAAATCTGGAGTCATCACTTTGCAACATCCCAAACTGTACTTTAGGGGAAAACAACAACAACAACAACAACAACAACAACATAATAATAATGTGATTCAAGAAACCTCAGAGCTTGGCTTTTTCTTACAGCATCTCTTGAATCTGGGGTACTTCAGACCTGTCTATCCTACAATCTGACATACAGACTCTGACGGAGTTTGCCTCCAGCTCCAGGACATACCAGGAGATTCCTGCATAACAACAGCAAACACCCATGATCAAGTCTTATAGGAAGATACTTCCATCTTCCAGATGCTCTCCCAGCCTGTGGTTTCCATGTGAGCCTCCAGCTGCAGGAATTCCCGGCGCAGGGCCTGGTTCCGGCGCAGGGCCAGCTGCTGCCGTGCTGACACTGCTTCCAGGTGCCTCTGCAGCTTCTGCCTCGCTCTGCAGGGTAAAAAACAGGCACTTAAAAGTGTGAAAATAAACCAAAAGCATCCACCACAATCACTCTGCCTCAGACACACACACCAACACTGAGGGAGCTGCCCCAGACACCAAAAAGGAGAAGACTTGTTCTTCCACACACCTACATTTATATAAATATATATGTGCCACTTATCTGCAGATGTATATGGGGGCTTTGGTTCCAAAGGGTAAACACATAAAAAATCTTCTCTAACTGTGTTTTAAATGGATTATGTGCTAGTCACTCCTATGCCATTAAATCAAAATGAAAACTAGCAGAGGAACGTGTTCTGGAAGTCACCCAAACGGGAACAGCGAAGCTGCGGTTTCACAGCTGCCTAAATCCATGGTGCCACCAAGAGGGGCACTGGAAATCCATCTGACCCAGCTCTCTCACACCTACAAACCAGATTCCCTTTCCTGATGACAGACCTTTTTCCTGATGTGCCTTCCCTGTGCCAACACAGGGAAATGGGCACCAAAGATGGCCCTGTCTCACAGCTCCACTTCAGCCAGGAGGGAAACCGAAACCCAAAGCCCTCAAGATGTTCAGAGAAACTGCAGCTCTAAACCTGTTACATTAAACCAAATCTAATAAAACCAGGAAACAAAGTACATGTGATGCTGCCCCACCTGTCCAGATATTTTTTTCTTTAATTTGTATCTGCATTTTCTGCAACTTTCAGAAGAGGGGCTCCCACAGCACCCAGCACTCAGTCCCTGGAGCTTTACAGAACACCTCTGAAGAAAGGAATGGAACATTGGATGACACTTCTCAGTCCTATCTGGTTGTTGGGACTTCTGGATTTTTTTTTTTTTTTTCCTTTGGTTTGCTGTTTAGGTTTGGGTTTGGTGGGTTTTTTTTTGTTTGTTTGTTTTTTTGGTGTTTTTTTGTACAGACTGTCCATCTGAGCAATTTACATTAAATAACTGCTGTAGAAAGAATCCAAAGAACAAGACCAGAACCTGGAATACCCCCTAGGGCTTCTTAAGGCTTTCAACTTTCTAAGACCCTGGGATTCTCCAGCATGGACTAAGCTGTGGTGATTTTGTAAAAACAGGATAAAGCCAAGCTGCACATTAGTTATTCCCAAGATTTTAGTATCCATAGAATGAGGCATTTATGTTACTGCTGCAGCTATTTCATCAATAACCTGAAGACATGACTTCTGCATTACACTTAACATGAATATAAATGTATTATTACTGAAAAACCTTTAAGACAACATTCTGAAGGCATTCCAAGATAACTAAACCTTTGTAACTAAAATAAAATAACCCCCTAAGAAGCTTTTAAACAGGCTTACAGGTGTGGATCAGCCATTGTGTATTCCATTCTCTGCCTTCCTAATTCCAGCCTTCTGGCTTCACTGGAAGAAAACAACACACAGTGAGATAAAAGCATTTCACCATCTGAGATCTCCAAACACCAGAACATGGGGGTTTTGCAGGGGTTTTGCAGGGCACAGCCATTGCTGAGCAGAGAGGTCAGATCTGCTGGGAGTTACAGACTCATCTGCCAGTCCAGTTCTGAACAACTCCAAACTTCCACCCCTCTCTCTGTTCCTCACTGGAACAGGGTTGCTGGCAAGGGAAGAGATGCCTAAAATCCACATGGGATGCACCAAATCATCCAGAGATCCCAGACGGCCCAGGAAGGGCTCTGAACCCCACCATGGGCAGTTCCCAAGCCCATTCCTCCCTTTCTTGCCCCACAATCCCACAACAGACTCCCTCCCATGCAAGAAACGGTTGGAAATTGTTCCCAGGACAGCTGCCCTGAACCTGCCACAGGGATGGACTAGAACATACTTCCAAAACCCCTCCCAGCTCACAGACCCCACATGCCAGTCAAGTATTTTATTTAGGAACTCAACTTGAAACCAAGCTCATATTTCCCTCCTGGCAGGTGAGCCCCACTTGCAGCACTGCTGCAGGAATGAGTGTCCACCAGGAATCCTGGTGGTGCTGAGAGCCTGTGGAGCCACCATGGCACTGCCAAACACATGCCAAACCACAAAGTCACCCACACCTCTCCCAAAGCCATCCCACAGGGAAGGTGGTTTTGGGAACAGAGTAAAGCTGCCATTATTAAACAGGTCCAAATTGCACCCGAGGATGAACAACCGTGCCCTAAGGGAAAAACTGAAAATAACCAAGAGAGGATTCCAGCAGATTCACCCTGCAAACTCTGCCACAAGCAAAGCCTCTTCAGGAACAGCATCAGGCTGTCATTAGGCAGCAAAGGGCACATCACACATCCCAACACTTTTTCATGGATTTGGGCTTTCCCTACACACACAGACACCCCTTCACAGTTTCCCTGCAGAGAAGGGAAACAGGAAAAACCCTTCCTGCCTCTCTACCTGGGAGATCAAGGCGTCACTTTGAGCCATGCGATCCTGGCAGCGCCTGGAGCAGGATCAGGGCTGCGTGTCATGTGCACAATTTAACAGCCACGCTCCATCTGGGATCTCATCCCTTCCATTTCCCCTTAGGCCACGGACAGCCAAGCACACGCAGTTTTCAAGATCTTGCTTTTACACTTCTCCAAGTAATTTTCCTGCACACTTCTCCAAGTAATTTTCCTGCCTCAGCAGAGAACACCGATATCCTAAGGGACAAAGCAGCCGATGGATGTGATCTGATGTGTGCTCTGATCCCCATTTCCCACCTCTCCATCCCGCAGGGAGCACACTGCGTTCCTCAGCTCCCCAAAACCCATTCCTTCCCCACCAGAGAGGGTTTTTCAGCTTTTTCTGCCCGCAGCAGCCGCTCAGGCAGGCAGGGATACCCAGGGAAGGTCTCCTGGGGCAGGCACAGCAAACAAACCCCCGGGCGTGGGGCTGGACCAGGGCCCAACACCAGGAATAAACCCCGGCCATAAACAATCTGAGAGGGGATTTAAAGTCCAGTTACACGTCCCGGCGTGCTCCATCGGTCAGGAGCCGAATCTTTGCTGACTGACTTCCCAGCCCTCTAGAACTTAGTATCCAAGGGGAAAATAAAAAGGAGATGAATGAGAACAAGGAGGGGAAAAGCATCCGCCCTCTCTGGGCGGGAACCGAACCCCAACCATCCCGCGGGGGGACC